TTTTACAGTTTAATTGTATTTTCATTTTATGTCTATATGTGTATCTTGGTAGTATTTATAAATTTTTGGCCAAACGTTATTTTGTACATGCATTAGGTTGTATTATTATTATTATTTTGTGTGTGTCTTGTATAAAGTTCTAATTGGTATTTGCACAGCGTATTCATTATGTTAATTCTAGGAATTGATTTTGGTTGAATTGAATTTTTGGACAATCACGTTTTCCTTCTTTCTGATTTTTTTTTGTGTGGGGTATTTTCGGCTGGTTCCGAGGTTCCATGTGTTGTAACATTCTTTTCTTTTCTAATGCTGGGCCCTGATCAGGCCGCTTCTGTTCTTAGACGTGATTGTTTGGGATTCATTCCTGGAAGTTATTCAATTTCGTAGTACTTAGGGGGTCTTTACTCTTTGTTTGAATACGTTCATGTGACATATTTTATTTGGAATTGTTTGAATTATTAGTGTGTTTATTTTCTCAGGAATGTATTTTATGTATCTGCGGCGCGTTGATTATCTTATTTTTTTTTTTTTTTTTTTTTTGTGTTGTGAGCAATTGGATTAGATTATTTCTTTCTTCGGGTGTGTGTATCCGAACACATTCAGTAGCTTATCTATCGTAATGGAAAAATTGAAAGATAAAGTCTTCAACTTTTGAAAGAGTGATTGTTCTTCCTTGGTCGAAGGTGAGACGTAGGGGGGTGAAATCTGGTTTCTTTTTAAGGTCAAGTTTCTTGGCTTGCATTCTACTAAACTGTTAGTCAGTTGTTTGTTTTTCGAGCATTGTGACCTTCTACTAAGGGGTATTGTGGTGCTGAGTTCTTACATTACGGGGTTGGTGGCTTTCACTTTCTCGCGTTGAAGGCTGCAGCGGGGAGTTGCTAACACACAATGATTTCTAACTACAGGGTTTTCCCTCGCTTGCATTGACAACTCCGTACTCATTTAATGTACTCCATGATTGTGCTCAGCAGAAATTGTCACAATAGTAGAATGTGCTCGACCTCAGGTGAAATTGTTTACATTAATGGACTGAAAAAGAGAATGAATAGATAAATAAATGTTCAGGAATGTGGCCACACAGAGACTGCAACACTAGTGTGATGTAATGAACTGAAAAAAAAAGAGAAATTATTTTTGTCATAAAATTGATTGAATTCTTGACTTTGACATATTTTGTTTGTGATTAACGCCTTATTTTTTTATTTTTACTTATGTATGTGTTCTGAATATTTCTAAGTTAGGTAATTAATTAAGTGATTTAATTGATGTTTTGATTAATTATTTTTGATGATCTTCCTTGAGTATTTTAATTAGTAATTGCTTTGATTAATCTTCTTGTTTCCTTGCACATTTTGGACTTGAAATTTAATGTGTCAGTAACGTCACTGTTACCAAGGAGTCGTGTGAAATATTGTTACATTATGTTATCCTTTAGCCTTATTACACAGTATGAGTTCATGGTATTTCAAGAAGTGTCTGTCTGCTAAATTTTGGTAAACCAAAATTTAATTCCTTAGGGGAAAGGAATGTTATGTAGAGAAATTACCGGATAGCGTTATAAAAATTAGGTGAATGATTTTATGATTTATGGAAATCTTAATTTTTATTTGATTATGAATTATTTATTTTAAGGCTTTAATTTTGGGGAAAAACAGATGCTTCTGGAAATATTATTTAGTTTAAATGAATATTATTTATTTTCTTTTATTTGCAAATCTTGTACAAACTTTTATTCATTGTGAAAGAAGCAGGGAAAGGGAGGCAATTTTTTGCCAAGTCATGATTTCGCGCGCTTTGTCCTTTGGAATGTTCGAGAAAGAATTTTCATTGTTAGTTGACCTTAAGAGAGGAAAGTATGTGACAGAAAGGTCAAAGGTTGCTACTTGTCTTTCAATGTAAGTCATTCAGGTTTTTGGCGATTGAGGGTCCGGTTGTTGGCTAAGTGAAGAAGGGCGCACATGCGCGATCACCCTTATTTCCGCATTCAGGGGTTGAAAACGAAGATTTTGCCATAATTAAGGGGGCGATAAGTGAAGCCATAGTGGGAGCCTGCGTTTGTGAAGGAGACGAAGGAAATTCGAGTTGGATTCACACTTACTTTTTGACTGACTCTCGGACTGACTCGCTGATTTTCGGGCTTGCTGGACAAAAATGTAATTACGAAGAGAGATGTTTTCCGGCCGCGTTTGGTTAAGAGGCGAGACTCACTTACTCTTGGACTCGCTGATTTTCGGGCTTGCTGGACTTGTGGACGTTGCTCTTGAAAACTGGCTTGAAGGAAATTCGAGTTGGATTCTCTCTCTTACTGACTGGCGGGTGGAACTGACTTGGGACGTTACTCGTGAAGCTTGCTCTTGGGATGAGTAAGAACAGGCGAGCCGTAATTGCCTAGGAAAAAACGTTTCTGACCTGAAGCTGAAAACCCTCTTCCTTGCGGCGTGCTGGTAAAGAGGCGAAATTTGAACGAGTTATCTGCGTGTTGACATAGGACTTTCAGGACCAAGCGGATAGCCGTCCTGGGCAGCAGTGCTCCTGTTTCTGTTCTACAGTGGGAATTGCCGCCCACATTTTTAGAACCAGTGTCAAGATGAGCCCGGCCGACATCAACGCTTGATAAGATACGAGTCCTCCACGGCCAAGATGTCCCCTCAAGATAGGTTTTATTTTTTTTGGTGTGTTTGAACTTTAAGCAAGTTTTTCAAAAACGTCCTTAGCAGTAAAAACAACATCGAATCTAAAATTTAATTCTCAGGCCTTAAATTGTTTCCCTTTCCTTTCTTTTAAATTACCAGACAAACCCTAAGTTTTTTTATGAATTTAAATGAAAAGACTCTCAGATGAGGTTAAGATTTTTCTTATTGTGATGTAATTGAATAAACTGATATTTAATCTGGAACCTCTTATAGTATGTTTTCTTTATATATTTAATATGTTTTTCCTATATTTCTTGTATATGTTTTTCTTATGTTTCGATCCTCTCACGGCGCGGTCCCGGGATGCATTTTTTTTCACAACGCAAAAATGCTGTACACGTTTCACTATACGATCACTACCTTTCACGGCAAGTAGTTTCATATTTAACATTTAACATATAGGAATTTCAGATATAACATGGTACCCTGAAGTAAAGCTATTTAACCTTGGTGTCGAAACATTCTTATAACATTGGTGCCGTGAAGTAAGATTCATAACTTTATTTCCCGGCGTGAACTTAAGCAATATAACAATACCAGGAGAGTTTTTACATTGAAATCAAAAAAAAAAAAAAAAAATGTTCTCATAGTAGTTTTGGGAAATTTGTGCTTTCTTAGCGAAAACCCTGTCCGCTCAGAGGGTTAACCATACAAGTATATTCTTCCTCTGATAAATAGCGCCTTCCCGCCATAATAGACTGGAGATGAGGCTTTCTGAAATAAAAAGAGAAGAAATGGAAATATATCTGAAGGCAATGCAAAACGTAGCAGAGCTTCACATAGTAAACCTAAAAGACCGTATATAGTAGAGGGAAAAAATAGAATAAAAAAAGGAATTGGATATAAATCAGAGACTCGAGTGTCGGTCTTAGCACACAGCGATTTAAAGAGCCCATCTCTGTTTACGTTCCCCCCCTCCCCCATGCTCGCAACAGGTGATGAGTAAAATACCAAAGTCAGGCAGAATATATCAAACTCAAGGTTAGGAACATAAAACTGCATTAATTTCAAAAGTAATGGGCACAGGATGCCATCTAGTGGCCTTCAGAAAAACGTTCTAGCTTAAAATGCATATATGCATCACCCGTCCTCTGAATGCAATGCGTGGATGGGATGCCCGGCTGTAATAGACGTTCTTAGGAATGCTTATATGGGACACACATCCTGAAAGGGTTAATTTCATTTCAAATTCAAACTGTCCATCAAAAAAGGAGTTGGAATCTTGTTTTTAGTGACTCCAGCTCAGATTCCTTTTACCCCAAAATTTGCCTGAATCCACAGCCCTGGTTTTTAAAGTTAAAAAGTTGAAAATAAAAATGGATTCTTTTAATTTTTAAATATATACAGGTGATAAGCATCATGAACTTGTTTATCCAAACTAATTAGAGCAGCATGATTTTGATTTTTGAGTAATCATGTCCAACTCAATAGGCAAGCCCTTATACATCATGTATCATACAACATCGTTATAAAATAGCATGCGTAAATATTTGTAGATTATTTCATGATGACCATGCTAGGAATTTTTTGTTAACTCGTAACACATCTGCAAAGCTGCTAATTCCACTGTATTCTTCCTATCCAACCTGAGTCCAAAATCAGTGTAACTATAAAAAGCAGGTGTGGGGATTCTTGTTGGAGCAAAAAAGGCATGTCACGTTTTAGGTGTGATGCAAGCGCTATCTATTGATAATCAAAACAATCCCCCCTATTGGTAGAACTTATATTAATTTTATAAAAGTTTATGATTTTTACCTTTTTAAAAAAAAATTGTCTCTGTGAAAGCAGTTTCTAATAGATATGTGTGAAAATTAATGGCATTTTTTTAAATGAACATCAACGTAAGAATATTATGAAATTAAAAGCTCATAATTATCTCATAAATAACCCTAAGTTACTAATATAAAGCCTTCCCCCCCCTGGAATACTGTCAACATCACTGTAGTCCACTAATAAATGTGCTCACAAGATTACCTAGCTTTTCATTTGCCATGTTTTGTAGGTTGATTTGTTTTATCTTCATTTCTTGAAGTTTATTCCATGCTAAATTATGCATGTACCCAAAGACCTATTTTGTATCCAAAAGTCTACTAAAATTGTGTTATAATATTTTAGGAAATTTTCATAAAATTTTGTATCCTTCTCTAATTAAAGCATTTAATCTTTGTTAAATTTGTAACATGTTCTTTTATTTATCCTTTTTGTATGAATGTATCATTTTTATTCCCAGGGGTTTCCCATATTTGTCATTTAGTATACTTTTATGTATGGTTTGTAACACAGTAAATTTTTGCTAATACAAAATAGCTGGAACTCCCTATGCTGAAGGTCTGTTTCGTGTGCGTTTGATTCTCGGCAAGGATTTTCCTTCTTCCCCTCCTAAAGGATATTTTGCCACTAAAATTTTTCATCCTAATGTTGCAAGAAATGGCGAAATTTGTGTAAACACACTAAAAAAGGACTGGAAACCGGATCTGGGTCTCAAGCACATTCTGCTAGTAAGTTTTTGCTCTTTACCATTATTAAAAATGGGATTTTTGGTTAAAAATTTTTTGTTATGTTAAAATCATGAGATACCTAAATAAAACCAATGTATGTTTAACTTAATGCTTATTTTTAATATTCATTTGTAAACATTTTTTATTAAAATCTCTTGTCTTTGTTTCATTCGTAAGGCTTCAAATATCAAGGAAATTCTCTTTTAGCAGCAGCTTACCTTTGCTATGAATAATTTATAATTGTTTATAGTACATTAAGAAATCTTAAAGTTTACATAATTTTGCAGGATTTGTGTAAATAACAGGTTATTAGAATATTTGAAAGCTTAATTGCAGTAAAGTTTGGGAAATGCTGAATACGTGAAAATTCCGGGCTCTGAAATTATAAAAATAGTCGTTTTGTTTTTTACCAGCTTGAATATTGAAAGTCTACACTTAAAATTATATAAGATCACTAGACAGTGCCCTGTGTTCACACTTTTAATACTGCGCGCTTCTTTTCATCACTGCAGTTATGTTTTTAATCCATTCAAATTTATTCATTTATTGTTTGGAAATATTTTTACACTAAACACTACAACTTTTTCAGTTCCTGAATTAAAAAAAATTAATTAATCAGTATTAATCACTACAACCTTTTATATTCGTTGAACTGAAATTAAAACTTAATTTTTTACCAGCTTGAATATTGAAAGTCTACACTTAAAATTATATAAGATCACTAGACAGTGCCCTGTGTTCACACTTTTAATACTGCGCGCTTCTTTTCATCACTGCAGTTATGTTTTTAATCCATTCAAATTTATTCATTTATTGTTTGGAAATATTTTTACACTAAACACTGCAACTTTTTCAGTTCCTGAATTAAAAAAAATTAATTAATCAGTATTAATCACTACAACCTTTTATATTCGTTGAACTGAAATTAAAACTTAATTTTTTGGTGGATAATATTTGGAGATCCATTTGGTTTTGTAATTCAAGTAATTTGGGGTTTTCCCCCCTTTTACGAATTATTCATTTTTTACTGCATCATATTTAATGCTACATATTATCAGTTTTTAATAATTACAAGTTTCAAATTTATAGTTAATCTTATTTTATTACTTAACTCAATAGTTCCCAAACTGTGCTCCGTGGCACCCAGAGGAGTCTCTGCCTCCTCACAAGGGTGCTGCGAAATATTGTGAAAAGCTAAAAATATCTACATTTTTTTTGTGTGGTTTGATTTTACCTGACTTTGTATAAAAATAAAAGAATGTTGCGCAGAGTAGTTCTGCTAACATGAGTTGCCAATGCTGTGCCTTCTCGATCGGATTATATAAATGCACTATAACTCACAACAGTGTAATCTGAGAATATGTACAAAGTTAGAATGGCCTTTTCATGACTCATTCCGTAAAACGAAACCATGGACTTTTCTTCCTATTGTTGCTAAAGTTAAGTCATCGTGTCATTTGATTTGGTTTTATGTGTACTGACTTTCAGAGGTTGAGTCGAAAAGCCACCATTTTCATTCAGGTCTGATTTCCTGTGATTTATGCTTGTCACAGAAACATCAGTCAGATCAGCAGCAAAAGTAACATTTTCATGGCCAGACTTATTGGGAAAATGCTCCTGTAATTTAACAAAAACATTCATAATTATAATGCGGCCACCATAACAATTGTTTTCTTCTCCAGGTCAGTGAATTAATGAATGCTTTAATTGCTTTACTTTTTGAGAGTGGGGCAAGGTCGGGGTTGCTAGAATTTGTAGTTTGATCATGAATGCCAAAATGGGAATTTCTTCCTACTAGTCTTCAAATAGTTGACAGGATATTAGCAAATTTTTAAATAAAAAGCTAGATGCAATGTAATCTATTGTTTCACATATATTTATCATTGTATTCTCTTCGCTCAACAATATTTATATTTCATAGTATAATTTTTGCAATATGATATCTCTAATTTGTAGAACTATATTCTTCGACCAATATATACACTTTCTACTATATCCAATGCTCTCAGCTTAGATTGATTGGTAATATAGATAGGTCGAGGTGTGTAGACCCTTTGCGATAGATTTGGACTGTTCCTTAAGATCTTGCAGAAAGCATATAAGCAAGCTTTGCCTGCTTGATTCAATCAGTCAGTTTATAATCTAGGTTTAGTTAAATTAAACTCAGTGCTTCATATAAAAAAATCAGTGATATAAATTAGTTCATGTGGTATAGTTAGTGTTATATTACTTCTTGTTTGTTTGTCTTTGGTAAATAGTTTTGTGATTTTGTTCCCTTGTACCAATTTTTGAATTGATGGACCAATTTTTCAACAGTAATAAACAGAGATAGAAGATAGCACAGATAAAGAACGTATGTCTTCAACCAGTAGCAAGACTGTGAAGAAACAAAAATACAGTATATATGATTATGATTATTTAGAGTTTGGTTTTACCTCAACAGAAATGAAGGGTAAAGAGAAACCACAATGTGTATTGCGTATAGACATTTTGGCAGCAGAATATAGGCTTCTAAAGGAATTAAAGCTCCATTTAGAATGCATTATTCATACAGAAGTACTTGTGCCAAAGCATCCGAGTCCTGCTGAAAAACTGTGAGAGGACGTAGGATTCAAACACTTGTCCTTATTATGTTAGTGTACGAGGGATCTCTTGTAGTAACAGTTTATTACATACCTTTGAATTGTGGCAAGAAATTTTTATTTTCATTAAAGAAGGATAAAAAGATGCCGAAGATTTTGCTGATGCCATTTTTTAAATAAAACTGGCATATTTATGCAAGATTTTTGAAAAGCTGAATTCTTTTAATCTCTCTCTGCAGGGAAAAAGTGCACGTTTTGAAATCGATGGGAAAAGTGTCAACTTTTATTTTTTTAAAAAAATCAAACTGTTGAGAAAGAAATTGGATATAGATGCAGGCAAAGATTGTTTTTTAGTATTGCAACAATTTTTTTATGTCAAATGAACTTGATCTTTAACAAATATTTTAAAAAAATAAATAAAATTTAATAATGGTCATGTAAATCTAAAAAAATGAGTTCAAGCATCCAGTTTTGCTGCGAGTAAAAATAATTCTGTATTCGTTATCCTCAAAATTACAGATTTCTGTTCTAACATTGTATTTGTTAAAATTCTTATACAGGTTGATTATGGGATAGAAGTTATGGAATAAATTTTAAGGTGTAGCAAAGCACGCTACAGCAGTAATTTTTTATACATAAATGTATGGATGGGTTGCAGTGGCACATTGAAGAATAAACAAGAAAGAAAGGAGATTTAAATTGTTGATTGGCGCTACTTTAACCCTCTGAGCGGTCAGGGTTTTCGCTGAGAAAGCTCAAATTTCCCAAATCTCCTATGAGAACAAATTGTTTTTTTGATTTTAACGTAAAAACTCTCCTGGTATTTCAGACCTGGATTTGTGTACTTTTGATACATTGCCTTAACTTCCTTGACATATTTTAATATGCATGTATGTATACGTTCTTACAAATATCACAAAAAAATATTCCTCTAAGGGGCACCCTTAGAGGGTTAAATAATATTTATAATAATTGCTCAGAATTGCATCCACTAGCAATAATAGTACATTTTGTGCACAATTAATACTGTACTGTTTGCTGATAAAGGATAAAGTGGCTGAACTTCAGAATTTATGACTGTATTGTTATTCATGGTAGGAGACTATCAATGCTAAGAAAGCAGATAGGCTTCTAAAGTATGAAGCTGTAAGTGGAACAACAAAGCAGCATTATGGATCTGTCGGAACATTTTTCTCAGTAGATGAATGCCAGATCACAAAATATTTCAGAAGATTACTCGCCAACTCTGTGAAACTGCTTCCTTCAACATCAGTAGGCAGGAAACAGGTCAACAAAAGCTATACATCTAGATGTGAATGATTTTATCTTGAACCTTATGAAAGATGGACCTCCTACAAGTGCATGAGCTATTACACATGATACGAGTCAACCCATTTGGAGGATGTTAAACAAAGAACAATTGTGCCCATTTCTTTTTCAGAGAACTTTACCAAATAGAAACCAGAAACCTTTGAAAACAGAATATACCCCATGTGTGTGGGATTCTGAAAAGGTTTTTCCAAAAAGAAGTGCATTGCAATTGTACTTCCTAACTCATATGCTGTTCTGAGATAATTTTTGGGAATGAATATGTGTGCATGGTTGTCTTGTTTCGGCAGGTGTTATGAATGACTTTCTTATTGGTTCATATCTACTTACAGCAAAGCTCAATGGCAGATGTTAGGATAATTTTCTGGAAGAGGTTTTACTAGAATTCCTCTTGAATGTCCACTTTCTGTTCGTAATCAACTAGGATTTCACCATCAGTGGTTGCAATTAGCTGAATGGTAATTTTGGGGCACAATGAATTAGCCATGTTGGCCAATGTAACTATGGCATAAGTATACTTAATTTGGCCTCGTACATCGGTGGTCCTTCATGTCATGTTGTGGCGAAATAAATACACTTCTTTAATTCTAATTCTACTTTATGAGGCAAATTATGTATACAAATAATATTTACAGATTTGTTGGATTTACATGATAACTGATTTAATACCACTCCTCTACATCACTACACTCTCCACTCTCTCAGCTGAAACTCATTAAATTAACTATACATACGGGCGTTGCAGCACCTTCTAACTTTCTTTTCAGCACTCCTCAGCTGTACTCTTTAATAAGAGTACATAATAATATTAACATTAATTAACAAGGCTTAATGCTAAATAGTATGACATAACAATGAATATATAAATTATAATAGTAACTATAATAACTTGCATCAAAAACGTGAATGATACACTATAATTAAATGAACATAATAATCAATAATATGAACAATATAAAACTCCAAATGATGTCAAATGTCCTAAATTAAATTTCAAAAGAATATAGAAGCTGGATAGATTTTCTGAACTGTCCTTTTGATGTGCGAATGATGCACCCTCGTATATATCCATCTCTTCCCACAACTCCC